AATGTATGCTAATATTCAATCAAACATTTTTTAGAAACTTATTTTTGTCTCCATATATAGATAACATTTGTCATAAAATAATTTCTTCTCTATTTTTTCTAGGGAGTGCTAAGAAAAAAAAATGGATATTACAAAAGCTTAAAGACAAATAAAATACTACCTGATAGTAAAATAAAAATAAAAAAGCCGACCCGCGGGCCAACCCGCCCGACCCGCCGCCAACCCGTTTTGATCCACAACCAGACGGGGCGGGTTGAGGCGGGTTGGTGGGTTAAGATGTGTAGCCCAACCCGCCAAAACGGGGCGGGTTAGCGGGTTAGCGGGTTGACCTGTCGGGTTCCACCCATATTGCCACCTCTAGTTAGGGAGCTTGCTGAAGCGAACTGTCCAGCTAGCGTTGCAATTGCTCGCTGGTGTAACTCGCTAAAGCAAGGAGTCCAGCGAGCAGTGCAAAATTTTAAAACACACACTTAAGTCACTTTCTTTCCTCACCAAACACTCTTCTACGAAACAAACCGAAACCACCTCCATTAATGAGCATTTAGTGACCTTGAAACTCTAGCTTTCATGTTGTTTAATGGAACCACATGGTGTAAAAAGCAAAGTTGCTTAGCTCTCCTTCCTTAACAAAACCCTTAGCTTGGAATCTATTGAGGAGGCTTGTGGGTAGAGATATTAGCTTGCAAAAAATGGAAAAATTGTGGAGTTACAAGAGCTTGGGGAGGTGTAGTGCCTCATTGTTGGTTGATAACCATTCCTAGGACCATTATGGTAAGATTATTGGTAAGCATTCCTAACCTCATTGTGTTTTATGAATAATTGCACATTTAGGGTTTTGTGGAATGCTGGTTGATTGGTGCATGTTGGAGTATGATTGAGGCTTAGGGCTTGTTAAAGATAATGTTAAGGAAGTGATTTAATCAGGGAAAATGCGCTTAGAAAATCATTTGGGTAATCTTTCACATTTTCCAAAATGCATGCCTATGTATTGATGTTGCTTGTGTCTCAAGTAATGTAAATGACTTGTATTGTTTGTGTCCATGGTGTTTCTAGGATTGAGACTTGTGGACCATCACTAGTTGATCAAGAATTGGAGGGACCGATGGAGCGTGATTTGGAGACTTGAGTGATTTCAAGCCTAGGTAAGTTTATGACTCCCATGGATTGGGTGTGAATTATCTAGTTTGTTTGTGAATATATGTATGTTAACTAGCTTGCAATTTCACTTGATTGTTTGTTAGCAAATATTGATTGCAAGTTCACCTTGTGATTAGGTGTGAATTGTGAATAAACCTTTGGTGTGAGATTTTGGTGCTTGGAGCAAACATTTGATGGAAGGCTTTTACAGCTAATCTTTCGGACCTTGGGATTTATTCCTTGACTGTTCCACTATGCTCATGTGGATTTTGATTTATATGGTTGTGCAATAGATTGAATAAAATGCATGTTGTGAGGTGTAGAAGGGATTCTTACACGGGTATGTGGCAAGACGGTTCTTGTGTAGTTCATATGGTATGTCGCACAGTTGCGTAATTCATACATTGTTCTCTGGCTTTATAATTATTTTGTCTTAGGCATCTTGTTTAAGGTATATTTATCACAAGGGATAAGGATGGTGCGAGGTACTAGCAGGAATATTAGACAGTCATTTGCACACTTTGCATGCATACATACATACATACATGATTATGTTGCTTGTTTATCCTCACCATGGAGGAAGACCTTAGCATCGATATTGATAGCCACCACAGTGGTGCTATTGTCCTTCTTCTTGGGCTATATCTGGTCAGACTTATCATTGTTGCTCTTTTGATCTTTCTTCGGAGTTTAGTAGTCAGATTTCTTGTGGCCGGACTTTCCACAATCGAAGCATGTCAATTCATATTTTGGCCTAGACCGGCCTCTTGATTTATCATGAATCCGACTCTTACTCTTGCCTCGGACGTCAAACTTTTCTTTGCTCTCAGCAACATTTGCATTAGATGTGCTGGATACGCCACATTCTCTTCTCTTGGATCCTTTGTTCAGAAGGTTGTCAGACTCATAATCTATTGTCAATTTTTCCTCATAAGCCGAGTTGCTCAAAGTCACTACTAGTGTGTCCGAGCTTTCTGGCAGCAAACTGAGGAGTAAAAGAGCCTAAGCTGGTCATCAATTTTCATTTCAGCCTGCGACAGCTGATTCATAACACCTTTGTATGCATTGAGGTGCTTTATCATGCTCATATCGACCTTGTATTCAAACTTCACAAGTCGGCGTACTAGATACACCTTGTTTCTTGGAGTTTTTTTCTTTATCATGAACTCCAGCTTCAACCATAGTTTGTGCGCATTGGTAAACTGGAAAACGTGCTCAAAGAGGCTTTTGTCAATGTATTTCCTGATCATGGCCACAACCTTTTTATTCGAGATTTCCCATTCTTTTTCATTTTTGCCTTCCTGCATCTCGGTATTGAGGATAAGCTCGTACAAGTCCTTGCAGAATAGATGATCTTCCATCAACGATCTCCAGTAAGTGAAATTATCTATAGTTGGTTTGAACATATCTCTGGCATGGGATATTTCGTTGCTCTCCATCTTGTCACTTCAGAACCCTTTGAACCAAGCTTTAATACTACTGTTGGGACAAGGTTCCTTAAACAATCAATGTGAAAGCGGTTCACAAAATGTCATGTCAAGCTCACAGCTTGACACTTAAAGGTGAACCTGAAGTCACCAGGTCAGCCAAAACAGATAAAATAAAAAAAAAATAAAAAAATGAGAGATGGAGAGAAAAACACAACAGAGTTTAAAGTGAAAAACCTCACATTAGGCAGATGAGTAAAAATCACGGGACATACTCTTGAAAAATTTTCTACTAGGAGATAATGGGATTACAAAGAGTCAAGACTTCCCTAGTTACACTAAAAGTTTACAATCAAGCTTCACTAATAATGGTGGTCAAAGTTTCTTATATAAAGATGTCTCACACTCAAACTTCTCTTCAAAGTATTAACATACAAAATCTCTAAGCTAGGCTAACCCTTTTTTCAAGGGTTTTATTCTCTTTATATAGGTAAGGTAAAACCCTTAACCTTCTTCTAGAATCTTCTCAAATAATTAGGTAGGGTAGCATTCATTGAGGGCATGTTTGGTGTATAGTATAGGATAAGGCCTGATAGTATAAGGTCTGATTGTATAAGACCTGATAGTATAAGGCCTGATTGTATAAGACCTGATTGAATTTTAATACTATCCAGCGTTTAACACGGTATTGTATAAAATGATATATTGTATAAGATAATATCATCTAGTATTTGGTAATGCACTGTATAATAATATATATGATAAGAATAAAAAAAAATTTAATAAAAATATCCTTTAATAAAGAATTTATATAATTCTTCAAAAAAATGTCATATGATATTAAATTTTATAAAAATTTATTGATCAGTGTGGCCAAAATATAAATTAATTTTTATAAAAATAAAAATATTCAATTTTTAAAAATTAATATATTGAAAAATTAATTTTTATTTTAATGGATTAATATTAAAATAATATATTAATTTTTGAGAATTACATTGGTCAACAATGTTAATACACCAATCTCTTATTAGGTCTTATCCCTCACCCTTAGGACAGATTAAGCTATACATCATTTTGATGTATTAAGGGATTATGCTGTATAAGCTTATTTTATACGATACTCACACCAAACAACTAAAAATGTCATAACGTATAGTATAAGCTTATACTATCATGCCTTATATGTCACACCAAATAGGCCCTGAGATGATTATTTAGACATTGAGTCATGCATCAATAACTATGGTGCATGCTCAGGGTCATTTTTTGAGCACTAGTATTTTTTGAGCTTTCAGGGTCGTTTTTATGGAGTTTTTAATTATTTTACATTTAAATTTTATATTTTTATTTCTATAGGCACAATTTTATAATTCCCTAAATTTCACTTTTTGTTACTTATTTAATGATTTTATAAACTCTAATTTATTTGATTATTTTTTATTTAATAAAAATATTATAAGAATTGCAGCTACTCCAATTCATTTTTAGTAGTGTTATGAAATCAGACCCGACCTGGCCGAGTCGACCCAAAACCCAGTTCGAGTCAAGCGTCGGACCGACCATGCATCAGACCCTGTCAAACTTGGCCAAAATCTGTCAAAACCGGTGACCCGGTCGGGTCATGCATTTTTATAAATAAAAAAACCAAAATTGTTTCTCATGTCAGACAAAATTATATAACTCATTTTTAAAAATTTTGCAATTTTATTTGCAAGTGATATACTCTTCTACAATGACCTCAAATTTCAGCTTTCAATAGAAGCAATTTGCGGAACCGTAAATTAAGAGAATGTGACATATGTCATTTCATGAATTTGAAAAATATGAATTCACAACATTTCGTCTTTTGAATGTCATTGAGATGTATGCTTAAGGGGATTCTGAATTGTAATCTAAATTGAGATAGTAATAACTTGCATTTTCATTTATTGTGCTTTATGAACTTGTAAAATTGTGATTGAGTAATTTTTGAACTTATTTAGTAAATCTTGTTTAACTCATTTTAGATATGGAGAATATAATTAAATTTATATGTTCATATTTATATGAGGCAGGATCCTTTGACATCGGTGTCAAATTTTGAAATTTGACACCAAATTCTAACCTTTAATTTCCGCCAATCAACGGTTATCATTTATTGGAAATTAAATTTATTAATTAATATTAATTTCCAATAAATGATAACCGTTGATTGGCGAAAATCAAAGGTTGAGATTTGATGTCAAATTTTAAAATTTGACACCGGTGTCAAAGGATCTTATACCTATATATATATATATATATATATATTCAAACCAACCGGTCTGACCAATGATCCAGTACCTCGAACGGTGCCCGGATCAGGTTTAATAACACTAATTTTTAGTCAATTTCGAGCAAAAACATTTTCTATATTATAAGTGCAAAAGAAATATTTCTAAAGGGACAAAAACTTGAAATAAAATGACTAAATTGGCAAACTTATTGGTGAACATATATTAATACAAAAGGACATTTTATTTAAGCCATTGTCATTCTCCCAGTCCTTCCTCACTGGACTCGAGGAACGAAGTGAAAGAACGAAGGTTGTTTGACACATTTGTCTCATCAGCAAAATTGCTTTGTGTCCAGTCCTTAAGAATTTCGTCAGAGAACACAGGAGGTTGGTCCGAACAAGGCGATAATAGCTCGGGGTTGTTGTTATTACTGTCACTGAAATTGCCCATATTTGAGAAATCCGAGTTGAGGAGATCAGATAAGCAAATATCACCCACGTTAAAGTCTATGAGCAAATCCGTTGAAAGTTCTTTGTGATCTTCACTTGGAAATGACAAAAACCCATCATCGTACATACTGGGTTCCATTTGGTTACTTACTGAATTAATGCTGGCTAAAGCATTATCCTCAAGCAATGGTGCCTCTGCCTCTGCCTCTGCTTCTGCTTCTGCTTCTGCTTCTGCCTTGGAGTACTTGTTCTGTAATTGCATTGATGAGTGAGGGAGTAATGGGTTTATGAATAATACCTTAGAGCACTTAGCAGCCTTTGTACGAACCACATGGGATTCTAGCTTTGGAGGAGATACTGAATGGGAGGGAGTGTTCATTGGGGTTAGTTGGTTCTGCTTTGGATTCTGTGTGCTCTTTCCATTGGGTTTAGCAGAGAGTAAACGAGAACAAGTACTCGTTTGGTGTCGATCTTTAACTTTTTTACCTAAATTGGTGTTCCAGTAATTCTTTATTTCATTGTCTGTTCGCCCTGGAAGCCTCCCAGCTATTAGAGACCATCTTAAAAAAAAAAAGGCAAAGCAATTAGTACCCTTCTGAATTTATGTCATGCCATAAAAGAAGAGATAGAGAGAAAAAAAATAAAAAATAAAAATGGAAGAATGGGTAAAGGTATAACCTGTTTCCCAGGAGCTTGTGAAGCCTGATGATTAGCTCTTCTTCATCTGAGGATATATTGCCTCTCTTAATATCAGGTCTGAGATAATTCAACCATCGAAGTCTGCAACTTTTCCCACATCTTTTCAAACCTGCATGGCCAACCACATACATATACAAGAAGCACATGCCTATTAATTATATATAATTAATATATAAAGGTTTTCATGAGAAATGAGACAACCAAAAATGAAACAGAACTTAGTCCTAACACATTATTCAACCTGCTCTTTTGGGAAGGTTTCTCCATCTTCCTTCTCCATGGACCCTAATGTACTCTGTTAAGATTTTGTCTTCATGAGCTGTCCAAGCACCTCTATTCAAACCCTCCTTTGAACAACAAGGGCTTCTTCCCATCTCTCTCTCTCTCTCTCTCTCCTTTGCTACTCTTCTTGTGTTGTTAGGTTCCACCTCACACTCTCTGCTGTGGAGAGTGTGTGTTTGGGAGCGTGAATACTTATAGCTTCATAAATTTTGGCGTGGTCCACTCGGAAAATGATTGCGAGGCAACAAGAATAAGTAAGTTAACAAAGATTTAAATAATTTACAAAAATTATGTTTATAAAACCCACGTTGAATTATAAATGGAGGCTTTCGGTTGCATATGCAGGTGGCATCATTTGTCGTCACAGAAAAATGTTAGCATTGGACAAAATGGTTCCTTCAATTCATAAATTACGTGCGGGGAAAATTCCGCAGAATCTGCTATTTTGTGAATGTGATGATATTAAAATGAAAATATCAATTGTTAAATTTTTTTTATGATCTTTTGTTGATTTTAGTTAAGCATATTACTGACTATATGTTATTTTGACTTTTTGGCTCGATTGATAAATTAAACTACATAATTAAGAAGTTTTAATATGATTGTTATAGTTTTAATAATAATAATAATAATAATTGTAACGCTGAAACGATATATGTGAAGATTGGTTTGAGCAATAGATCGATAAGATTTATAATCATCTTGTTACTCTTTGCTACAAAATGCTTTCAGAGTAATTGAAAATAAATAAAGATACAATTTTAAGGTTATATTACTCATGCTTTTAGTGAAATTCGAATTAAGCAGACATACAATTTTAAGGTTAAATTACGCAAGGTGTTTTTTTTTTTTTATATAATTTTATGAAATTTTTAGATAAGTCTTTATAATTTAAAATTCTTTAATAGTACTGTCACATATTTTTAAAAAATAATTAAATTATTTCCTATAATTATATTAAATTTTGTATTACGTCCTTATTAATTTACTTTATAATTAAGTATCTAAAAATTGAAGATGATTGTAAAGTTCCATTGATGAAGTCTAACATCTATCGATTAGTTTGAACTTATTTAGCAATTTTTAAAAATATTAAAAATTCATTGTAAACTCTTAAACTTATGTGAATCTATTTAAAAACTTAATAAAATTATATGATCAGCTTATAAAATAATTTAACAACTTTAATTATTTTTAACTACTCTCGTTCACTTTAATTACCACTCTTATTTTTTTCTCATATAAAAATTTATTGTAACATTCTACATATAAATTAAATTCACTCTTTCCCCACACCATAAAATAAAATAAAAAATAAATCACTCTTTCCATATTTTAAAACTATCTTTTCTCATCTTCCCTCTCTAGGAATACACTTAGCCTTGTGACTAGGGATGCAAATAAGTTGGGCTCTATGACTGAGATTGTGTAAAATACTTTAAACTTGGCCTTATTAGCCTTGTATAGGCCTAATATTATAAGTATGGGTTTGGGCTATTTGACCATTTTGCCCCTCATTAATTAATTAATAATCATTTTGCCTCTGATTCGAAACTATCTACCAATCTGCCCCTCTTTAATCGACTAACTTGAATTTTTAATCGACTAAATGGTTGTTGGGAGATTTAATCGACTAAATCTCCCTACTTAATCGATTAAAAATCATACTGACTTGTTTTCCTTTGTTGTCTGTTGGGAGATTTAGTCGATTAAATAGGGAGATTTAGTCGATTAAATCTCCCAACAGTCATTTTTGCCTGTTTTGACCATTTAATTGACTAAAAATGCAAAGTAGTCGATTAAAGAGGGGCAAATTGGTAGATAGTTTCGAATCAGGGACAAAATAATTATTAATTAATTAATAAGGGGCAAAAGGGTGAAAAAACTTATGGGTTTGCCTATATTTAAAAAATAAAAAATTTAACCTAAGCATGTTTAATTAAACCTATTAGACATTTAATAATTAAAAAATACTAAATTATAATTTAAAATCTTTACAATAATAATTTATTTATTTTATTTAAAATAAATAATATAATATATGACGACCTATAAACTTATAAGCACGACATATAAAAAAAATCTGTGGCCTAAATTTTAAATAGAATTTTTTTTAGGTCTGAGCCCATTATTATATGTAATAGACACAGTCTGACTTATGTAACCCGAGTCGTAGGCCCTATTAAATCGGCTATACTATTTATCTCCCTGAATTATGACATAATGAAACTGCCAACGAACATGCACACTGCTCTGCTTTTAATATTCCCAATCTTTCTACATATCACAAATAGGTTCTTCCCAATTTGATTTCTTTGGTTAAACTTTTCGATGAAAAATTTGCGTTTTTCTTTTTCTTTTTCTGATTTTAATCTTGTAGAAAAGAAAGAATTAATCAACTTTTTCTTGACACTCAAACGAAGATATTAAACTAAGATTAATATTTCTCGAGATAATTTTATCTCCTACATATTGTGTGAGATTCATGCGGAGCCATATAAAAAGAATAGAGAAAAAAAAATATAGCTCTACACACTTTTATATTTGTATAGAAAATAAAATTATCTCCTATAATATGAGAAATATTAATCCTTTGAACTAAGAAAAATACGTTTATCATAATGCATGAGATAATTTTATCTCATGCAACACATAAAAGGAGAAGAGAAAAAAAATAAAGTTGAGTTTTACTGACTTTTAATGTATGTATGAGATAAAATTATCTCATATAACAGTTTTATCTCATATAACACCAAAAAAAAAAATTATTTCATATAAGATATAAAGCAATATAGATATTTCTATTAAACTAATCTGCTTCGTTAAAATAAATGGGATAGAAAAGCCAAATTGAAACCAACATTATTATTATGATGACTTTAATTCTTCTCTTCCTTTTACCTAATTAGGTTATTCAAGTTGACTCTCGAACTGAATTTCTCACGAAGCTCTTGGAAAGTTTGTTGAAGCAGCCTCCTCTAACCTGTGAAGTGTGACTCACTCGTCTCAATGAGGGGTACAGATTGTCAATATTATTGGTACTGTCTGGCCCATAAGAGGTTTCAGCCGTCCACGTCCCTCTCTTACATTTATTGTCGATAAACGTTTCCTTCTATTGTCATTGTACGTTACAATGCGATTGTCCACTTCCACTTTCGGCTGATAGATTCTTACTAGTTAGTACTCCTACCCATAATAATTGATTCGAGTATTAAAGCGTTTGTTCTCCCTAATCACATGTTAAATAAAGTTTAAAACTTACGGTAACAAAATAATGTCAAGTGTGTTGGGAAATTTAAGTATGAATAAGTATAGTCTCATGTTAATTAAAAATAGACTAAGTGAATATGATTTAAGTGAAAAGATTCATATATTGATGAAAAATGTTATATTTATGAATTTTTTGTTTACAAACTCTTACAAACTATATTATGTCTGACCAGTCATACATTAATCAAGAGTGTATGATCGGTCATACTTAGTGTAATTTGTAAAAAAAATTATAAACGGATCATTTCTCTATATTTATTATCTTAAGATTTTTGGTTGTGTTACAGTATCTATAAGTCTACTTAATGTCTTTATTCACTTAACCCATTAATAATAGTATCTCCCTGTCATCATGAGTTTCTCATGCCCAGCAACAAAGAGAACCAATATGCGCCATCTATTTGAGTTTGATCACTATCTCAAATGTGACTAATTAAATTTTTAATGAATCGGCTGAAAATAAAATAAAAAAATCTAGATATTCCTACAATTATATAGTCATTATAATGTTGTATAACTTCAAATTATGGCGAGGTATTTAATAAGGGAATTGTTTATATTTAACATGAGATAAAACCATTTTCCTACACTCACATGTATATGAAAGAGGAGAGAGAATAGAGAAAAGAGAAAAAGCATAAATGAATCCCTCTAGGAATATAAATGGGCTAGGCTGGCCTATAAGAGCCTATGATCTAGTCTATATTAGACCAGACTTGACCTATTATAAATAGTCAAATAGAACAGACTTATACTCTTAAAAAAATTTATTTAAAAAACAGACCATAAATCGGCCAATTTATTAAATAAAATAAATAAAATTATTATTTTAATTATTTTAAATTATAAAATAATATTATTTTAATTATTTTTTAATTATTAAATATTTAATAAACTTAAGCAGACTAACATACTTATATCTGTAATAAAAATTACGTTTATCATGGCGCGCGCACATATACTGTATGCCTTACGTACCACTTCATAATAGTGAGAAATAACACTTGAGGGCTTGATATGATCAAATTTCAAACTAAAACTACAAGGTATTCAGTCTCTGAGTCAATCATTCCATTTAATTATGCGACTGACTTAGTCCATTCATTTTTAATGTGAATTTTTTTCACTTACACTTAAATTTCATGCAAATCTTATGATTAGATTAATATAAATGCACAAAACAATGGTCCAGAAACAAGTCACTATTTTATACGAATACCGAATCTGTTGAATATTGTGAAAGCTTCTCACTTTGAAATTTTGAGACTTATATTTTTTTATGAATTTAGTTTTGATAATAAAAATGAAAATTAAATTCTCAGGGTAATCATAGTTGCATACCAAATTTTTTTACACTATTTCTATTGAATCCGATAAAAGATTAATGAAAAAAGTGTGTAATAAAAATCATATGCAAATAATAATATTATTTTTCTTTTGTTGTAAATGGTAGTTACAAATTTCAAATAAACCGTTACATTTGATCATATAGAAAAGGTGCTTTGCACCGAATGTTTTTTTTATGTCCTCTCTAAGGTGGTTGACGAAGGTGTAAGAATTTTTCATATATAATAATTTAACATGAAGATCGATACATGTATGATAGATAACACAACACATATCAATTTTTATTCTGAGAGAAATTTGTGTATCTGATTGGGCCATCTTATCTACTGAGCGAAGAACCTTGATCTTACGGCTAGAGTCTTCTTCTCTATGACCTATTCCAAAATGGCAGCCTTCTGCGATGGGAGCATGTTGGCTCATGGGACTCAATCCCAATATAAATAGGCTAGAGAGGGAACCTAGCCAAATACTCTGAAAAGAGTTTGTGTCCACTGAGTTCACCCATCACAGAAAATCAGGGTCACACT